AACTGATCCAGAGTAGCTTCTGCCTTTTGCTTTCTTGATACCTCAATTACTTTAAAACATACAGTTAAGGTAGTTTCTTGGTTTTAATGTCCCTTCTCATAGCAGGGAGGTTGGAACCTGATGATCTTTAAGATCCCTTCCAACCTTAACCATTCTATGACTCTATGATTCTATGATTAATTAGAAATATTTCATTTTCTTTAGAAGACTGTAGAGACCAGCTTTGCAAAATACTTGTAGTTTAAATATTGTGCAAAAGCTTAGAAACCTATGAAATCCACATATAAATGTTTTACTCAAATTTTATAAGAGCAGAATTGGTCCTTAAATCATGTTGAAGAGTGGCAGTGTGGAATACTGGGTGATTTTTCTAGGGTTCGTAATAGAAAGTATTAGATTACTTGTTTTGTCACCTAACCTACTAGACCTGCTTGTAATAGCAAATGTTATCAATCCATTTTCTTTGAGAATTCAGAATACTATGAAAGAATCTGAGGGGAAGAAGGAATCATGATACTACCGGGTTTTTTTGTTAGTTTTGATTGTTTTAATTCAAGTTGTGTGTAGTCTTCATTCCCCTCACTTGTGTCTCAGTGTATTTTTTTCTTGCATTTCTGCTTACATGAATTTTACTTGAAAGTAAATATTTAAATGTAATTTGTTTTCTTTGGAACATTTCAGATTTTGAATTGATGCTTCCACCCTAATGATTGCCTTGTTTTTTGCAAATTCCCTTTAGTGTCATGTAATGAAGAGAACGTGTCAGGTCCTTCAAAATTTGTATTTCAGTGCTATTAAATCTATTTTTAGAAGTCTTTGAATTCAGACAAATTTGACTTAACCGTGTAGAAATAGTGTGTATTTATGATCTGAATGCAGAAATTACATGAATGAAATATGATACATTAATGTGCATGAAAGCAACAATAATTCATTTTTATTCTTCCTTGCAGATGCGTTCTTTATTTGCAGTAGCTTGGGTACAATCCAGTTCAATGGTTTTTGTCCCTTCCCACATTTGTATTCCAACTGTTGTCTTCCTGTACCAAGCAGTTAACGAATGTTTTTCTCTCAGTAGTTTGACAGAGGGAAGATGAAGATGTAGAATATTAATGAGTAATAAATTATGGTCTAAAAAAGCTTTAGTCTCTTAATCAGAATCAAAATATGGCTAAAGTTTATGGCAGTGTTTTTTGTTACTGTTTAATGCCAGTTTGTTATTATTGAATGTCAGAAATATTCCAGTTCCCAATAATTTTCTATGTTAGAGAGTTAAATACCTCTGGGGAAAAAGAACTATAGTCTTTTGATGCTGTTAGACCAGGAAAAAGAAAGATTAATAATAATTTAGAAGATAAACTCAACCTATTGTGCTTACTTGCTCGCTGGAACTTTTGTTCTCCAGTATTTTTACTTGGCACAGAGTTAGTTTAAAATGGGAGTGAGGGGAGTTTCAGTTGCTATCCAAACATAAATCTGGAATAACTTACTGTGTATTAGGAATGAATGCCTGGCACATACTAAAGACAAAATACTGCTCTGTAGTTGTGCTGTGTATTAGCAAAGGAAAAATAATGTGGTAGTACATGACATAAATAAAAGTAGAGAAATTTCTGCAAAGCTCACTGTATAATTCCTTCCAGCACACCCACACTTAGTATTTGCTGAACAAAGATTAAGGGCAACAAATCAAGACATAAATTTTCTAGTTGTCTTGGCTAAACATATTTCTGAGAATGATTACTTGCCAAGTCTTTATGAATTTGAAGATAAATGTCCTGTCTGCAAACTGAGAGCAAACCCTCTTTTAGTTAATAATTGGCAAACCAGCTCTGTCTTAGTGTGTAAAAGATTACAAATTATTTAGCTCTGCTTATATTAATTATTTAGATATTAGCTCTGTGTAGTCTCCTTTACCGCCTCAGTGCTTTATTTTATGCATATACTACTGTTGTTGGCCACAAAAAAATCTATTTTGCTATTTGATTTGAATAAAGGAGGCAAAAAACATAGTTTGTATCTGTTCCGAAGCCAAGTGCATAAAACAAGCTTAAAAAGAACCAGTAGTTACATTAATTTATTTGTTCCCAACTATTCCAGATCTTCATTACAAACAGTGGAGATGAGAATTACAGGACACTTATTCCAAGATGGGCTGCATTCTTCAAATACTTCATTTGGGCTTTAAAAATGTGAAAACTTTTGTAGCTACAATATATGCTTTTAGTTGTCTTTTATAGCATAATTTTCAGCAGTTCAGCTTTTCACAGAGTATGTTTCTCAAAAGTTACCAAGCAAATACTTGCTCTAAGTCTAGTTGTTTAGTTTTACAGTATGTTACTGTGGTCATTAGGGACATGTACTTCAAACATTAATGAGTGTATAGAGACAAGTTCTGAAGAGAATACTCTGAAGTAATTTTGATGTAAAATGGCATCTCAAGTGTGGTATTTTTAAAAGGCGAAATAATGTAATTGTAACAGAGAACATGAAGATAATTTCTTTTGGTTGTGTCCATACCATTGAGGACATTAACTTCTAGCTATTAGCAATTGATCCAATTGCATCAAAGCAAAATTTTTGTGACTTAGCAAGCACAGTAATGATACATTCCATTGCTTTTGGAATATTACAGAAACTGGAACAGCTATATTTAAAGGAATATAAATAATTACTCTGTTTTCCTTTAGTTTTAGGGGGGGTGGAGACACACAAGACTGAACTCATGTTTCTTCTGGCTTTCTCAGTTGGAGGTGGTAAATTCCTGGCCTCTTGCATATGAGTTCTTTCTGCTGAGATGACCTGTCGACATAAACATGGAGTACAGTTTTATAAATGTGGAGGACAGTTCTTTGACCATTAGTTGCCAGTATAAAATTTCAGTTGTTATATTAACACAGTTAAATTAGGTTTTCTCGTTGCTGCTGAAAATTCAGTAGTGAAGTGAGTTTGCCCGTTAGGTGCAAGTTAACAAGGAAATGGCATAATAGACTTTCTTGACTAGATAAAGGCACATTTTTTTGGTTACTATAATGTATCCTTACCATAAGTATTTTACTTGTTATCTGCTTGGTAAGTTTAATGATTGTTGATAGATGTTTGCCAACCCCCAAGCCTCACTTTTGACTAGAGCAGCACTGAGTAAAGAAGTAAGTATGCCTAAATGTACTTAAAATTTTGTTTGCTTTCATTATTTAAATTGATGTATTTGCAATGAATGTGAAAAAAGCCATATGTACATAGCAGAAGAGTAACAGATAACAAGCAGCAGATCTTTTAATGATTCAACTGATTCTCAAGACTAAAGACATTTGCAAGATTTCTAAACAGTCTTTATATAAATGAATTTTGGAACATATGTTAATACTTCGGTAGTATTCAGTACATCAATAAGTAAAATAAATTACATCCAGTAATGACGAGGGTATTCTGAATGTATGTAACACGAACTCCTACCAGTCTAAAATTAATTTACTCTGAATATGTCTGATATTTGCATTTGTCAACAAGAAAACACTTATACAGATGGCCCCTAAGTCTAGCATTAAGTGTGTTAATTCTTAAGTTTTATATTACTAAATGTTACTGTGAAATGTGTTCAGGGAAGCTTACAATCCAGTATGTACTTAAAAACCAGTTTAATTAAAGATGGTAAGCATTAACTCCTCATCATGTGATTGGTGTACTTAAATTGACAGTAGACTTAAATTGCCTTAGATACACATCTCTGTATCTTTCTGTGTTTGGATATATCTGAAATACAATTTCAACTTTACATGTGCTGGTTTAATCATTTTTAATATTCTGCAGCCAACATCAGGATAAGTGCAGTTGGAAAGCATATGTGTTATACTGATATTCACTGAGATAATTTGAAGGGAAAAGGCTGTCTCTAGTGTATGAAGACTTGCTTGGAAGGAGAGAGATGAAACTGTTCTGCATTCAGTTACTAAATGTTTTTGTCTGTTTTCCCTTCTCTGTGTGTTTTAATCCTAGTATGTCAGTAATAGTTGTTTAGTTTTACCCACAATTTCCTGAAGCATATAAAGTTCTGCCATGTGCATATGTAAAACTCATAGATTTTTTTTTGTAATAAAAAGATTAAACCTTTCATCAGAATATATTAATAATTAATTTTCAAGATCACATGAAAAACTGGCAATTTTACTGGCAGGGATAGTTTAATAAAGTCTTTCTTGTCTGATTTAAAGATCAGATTTGTATCTTGTGTCTTTTGATGACATGAATGCATATACATTAATAGAATGTATCCTTTATTCAATTTGTTAAAGTGGAGTATTAAAGCTAGCTAGTTTCTGATGTGTGAAGTTCCATTTTTGAGATATGTCCATACACTCTATTCACATATGTAAGTCATATGAAAATGACTCATGTATAATGAGGGATAAAAATCAACTTTGAAGTTCTTATTTGAAAGAGTTCCAAATGAGGATGGTGATTATTTACAAAAGCACTTAATATTGCATCATAAAAGTGTTACAAGCATCAACCTGAAATCTGCTGAAATACCAATTGAGAAAAATAAGACATACATTTTAGGGAAATATCTCCTAGTATTTCTGCAAGACTGAACATGCCTAAGTGGAAGAGGGGGGATTTAGATTAGACTTAAGAGGAAATTCTTCACTACAAGGATGGTGAGACACCTGGAACAGGTTGCTCAGGGAAGTTGACGGTGCCCTATCCCTGGAAGTGTTTGAGGGCAGATTGGATGGCAATTTGAGCAATATGGTCTAGTGGGAGGTGTCTGTGCCCAAGCAGGGGGATTGGAACTAGGTGATTTTTAAAATGTTTTCCAATCCAAGCCATTTTGTGTTTTTGCTGTCATTGCTTACTAGTACTGCAGTAGTACACTGTTAACCCAAAGATGAGTTTGTCATTCAGACGGGTTTGGAAGGGCATTGTTTTGTTTGCTTATGGGTTTTGCCTTAGATAATTAATCACTTCCATTTTTTTGTGTTTTTTTGTCTCCTTTAAAGGTCGTTTGTACGCAATGCAAACAGGGATGAAAATTGATAGTAAAACCCCAGAATGCCGTAAATTTTTATCCAAACTTATGGATCAGTTGGAAGCTGTAAGTATATTTTATTTTTCTTCTCCAAAATTTTTCATGATGTTACTTTAATTTTCATTTAAACTTCTGCATATATTGTCTTTCCACTGTCATCAGTCATTGATGCAGCTATTCTGTATGCAGGCATACTGTATGAATTTCAGTTGTATCGAGTAAGTTGACAGAAAAATTGAAAGAAGATAAAGCTGTATGTGTGTATATATATATTTATATGTTGTAGTGCATGTGCAAACAACTGAAATTTCTTACAGCAAACATTTGCTGTAAGGTTTTGTCTAGACAAGGTGAATTACAATACTTTATTCATACATATTCTCATGAGAAATCGTAATTTATTACAAAATAAATGCAGGAGTTCTAGAATAATTTTTTAATTGAGTTTTCTTTGATTATTTGAAGTCCGTGACAGTTATTTGCACTGCTACAGGACTTGCTAGCCTAGCCTAATCAAGAGCACCTCCTTGGTGCTGACCTAAACTATTGTACCCGGCAAGTTTTTTAAAACATGCTCTAAAAGATCTGTTGAGTTGCATCCTCTGATAGAGGTTGGGGAATCTTATACTATAAATTTTTGTAAGAACAGTGTTACCTGTGTGGGTAAGACATAGCTGTGCCACACTTGTTTGAATGGATCCGGTGGCATTAAAAAATGAGCAAACTTAAATAGAGGTAAACAAAGAAAGGTAAGGTAATTGTACAGATGGCCAGTTTAAGTTTCAGGAGCTGTTATGTTCATATGCTGAAGTTTTCAGTAGTCTCAAAGGAAGTAGTGTGTGGATTTAAAGGTTTGTGTACTTATCTGGAAGCGGAACATAATGTTGAAAAGTGAAGCAGCGGTTCTTTTTGTGTTCAGCATTAAAAATTCCATCCAAACTCTAGCCACAGCCTTCAATTCTTCAGAAAAAAGAAAAAAGAAAAAAAAAAAAGAAACATGAACTGTTTGTCTTCTATCTGTGCAATGTCTTGTTAGTGTGTTATTTCACTGAATTTTAACATCAACAGTGGCTTTGATTCTCATGCTCAGAAGAGCAGAGAGGTGGCAGGAGAGGAGAGGTTGAAAATCTGAAAGATTTTTCTCTTAATTTCATAATAATTGTTAAAATTTAATACCTTGAAGGTACTTTGCAGTGTTCAGTTACCCCTTTTGTTTCACATTTCTAAAGACTAGAAAACCAGCAAAAATCCGTGGTTTCATCTTTAAGTTGCTGGTAAGATTGAGCGACGACCGATGCTCAGGTATTGAAGTTCCTTCTATGTAGCCAAGTGGTGGGAGATTGGAGGTAACACTCCAAGCAGATCTAACACAGCATTTTGGGGACTAGGAAGCTTGGGTATATTGAGAAGTTGGACCTCTGCAGTAATTCAGTTGTAGCCATTTTCAGTCTGCCCTTAACCAGCAGGAGCACAAAGGGGTGCTGCAGGGCTGTGCTAAATGTTTCTTACTGCTTTCTGTGTGTTGCCACAATTGTTTATTTTAGAGGTTAAGACAGAAGCTTACAAGCAGTCCTGAACTTTGTAGTAGCAAAGAATAAAATGGTGTAGATATACTGGAAGTTACCAGATGTGTTCTTAACAAGAAAATTCACAATATGTGAATTAATTGCATGTAGTGATTTTTTAATCCAAAATGCATGTTTCTGTCAGACATTTTTACATACAATTGTGTTGCTTTGCTTTTCCAATAGGTGTTTCATTTCAATGTTTTTAGTAAAATTAAACAAAATTTGCTTGATTTTAGGTTCAAATTATGAATCATGATTTTAAACTCCAGTACTGCTATACTGAATCACAGTGTGTGAAGGGTAATTTCAAATGTAAACAACTTGGCTAACTAATGTTTTTAGAAGCATATGTAATTTGTCCTTTTGAAATAATCTTCATTGAACATTAGATCAGCTATAGCAGAAAGTTATTTTCTGTGTGTAAGGTGTGTATGTATAGGCTGGTGAAATACATATATAAACAATTTATTTTCTTTCTCAGTTCACTTCAGCATTTCATTTCATTGTATGCCGTGCAACCTAGAAATTATGGTACACTTAAAGAAAAATGCTTACACTTTGTAGAGTATTAGTTTGGCAAAGTATCTTCAAATTTAGCATTCTCTTTTGAAAGTTTATATTTCACTACTGAAGTCAAGTAACTTCTCTGGCAACATTCTGTCTCCTAAAAAGTTGGCAGCAATCTAAAAACTACAGAAGTACAGCCTGCATGATTAAATTTTCTTCACACGCACTTTGGAAAATAACTGCTATTCAGAGATTGTTTTTAAATCTTTTGGCAAAATAAAGGCTTCAGGTTAGTGTCATGCAGTGTTCCTGTTTTTGTTCTCTAAGGAAAACCTGAGATTTACTTATGTGCGAACAGTAAGTCTATTCAGAAGCTGTCAATTCACCTGTTCTAACTGTTAGAGGGTTATTTGCTTTACTGATTTTTATAAGGACACCTGAGGATTCTGTACTCAAATATCTTTAAAAAGAGGTCTTTGAATTGCACTACACTGCTTACACTGAAAATTCCAGTAAATCCATAGGTCACTAGACTTGTCAATGTAGGACTCAGACACATTGGAAGGGGTAATGATCTGCAGTGAAATAACCTTACAAGAGAGAAGATACATGATCAGTCTGACCTACAGTAGCTTTATAAAGCATGCATTAATTTCTCAATTGAACTGTTGAATCCTGACACAGGCTTCAGAGTCCTTGGTCTTTCGAACAGTAAGGGGAAAAATATTTGTAGTTATTCCTTCACAATATTGCAGCTGTGTTTACTTTTACTTTGTTTGGATTTTTCAGTGTTATGTGATTGAAGATGGTATTCAGAGATACTTATTCATAATATTTCTCCCTCCAAAATAATGTGTTTTCTCTTAATCATGCTACTTTTAGCGTTTGTTTTGTTAGAAGATGAAGATTTGTAAAATCTGGTTTTTGGTTTGTTTGGTTTTTTTTAATTGTACTTAGCTTTGTCTAAATTGGCAGCTTCTTGTATTTTAAATGGATTGTAGAACTGCTAAGGTCTAATAAAGTTATTAATGTATTTTTTTCAAATTTTTCAGATGAAAAAGCAATTTGGTGATAATGAAGCAATTACTCAGGAAATTGTTGGTTCTGCTCATGTGGAGAATTACGCTTTGAAAATGTTTTTGTATGCAGACAATGAAGACAGATCTGGACAATTTCATAAGTAGGTGAAAATCTTTGGATTTGTTATCTGAATTAAGATATAAGGTAGTGGTCAGGAGGTTTGAATATCCCAACTGTTTAATTTGACTGGAAACAGGAATTGTGCTGTAATGCATTGATTTGTTTTTTAGAATACTTGATTTGTTATGACTTGTATGTCTCTAACTTCACACATTAACTGGTATCCTCACTCTTGTGTTCTGTAGGAGGTTGCTCACCTACTGGCAAGCCTTCTAAAACCTCCGGCGAATATTGAGCTTGACATCAAGCATGTTACAGTTGTTACTGTCCAGTCATACTAAAATAGTTGTAATGATACATTATTTGGTTTGATTTACAGCAATTACTACAGCATGTTGATAATTTTGCTAGACTCTTTCTAAGGTAATGTAGGATGTCCTATATGTGACCTGTATTGAACATTCCAAACTAGAAAATAAGTGCTGAACAGATGACCAGCTTTTAAAAATACAAAAAACTTTCTGCATGGTAGTCAAGAGACTATCTGATACATCGCTAAACCTAAACATTGTGAAGTAAGTTCTGGAACGTTAAATTAATAGGAAAAAAAAAGATGACTGGCTTGAAATAATCCAGTATGATCTAAAATGCCAGGTTCTAAAATGTGACCCTCAGAGAGCAACATTACCAAGTTAGCGAAATGTTTTATTTTTTACAGAAACATGATAAAGTCCTTTTATACTGCAAGTCTCCTGATAGATGTTCTAACAGTATTTGGGGAGCTCTCTGAAGAGGTAAGTCTTGGAGATACCAGTATATTGTCTCATTGCTTTTCCTAGCACAGGTGCAAATTATTGTTTTAGTTCTGTAAAGTTGTTTTTATCATTTGTGAATATGAACTTAAAAGAATTTAGGTTTTGATTGTCTAGTCAAATACTTGGCAGTAAGTCACAAGGAATTATCCTATGTATTTCAGATAAATCATGTGAAATGTTAAATTACTGTTAGAAGATGCTTCATGATTTTAAAGAGCTAAAACTGATATAAGTGTAGCTATTAAAGTGTTCTTGCAAGATTCTTTAATCTTCCATAGCCTGAGACTATATCAGTCTACAATTTTCATCTGTCAAGAGGGTAAGATTGCTCTTTCATGTGTTCTCTTGAAACTGGCTTCTATGGACCCTTGCATCCTTTAGGATATCAAATAATGTCTCCTGGAGTGAGAGAGTGAATGCGTATTTAATTGGACTGAAAAGAGAATAATGTTAGACTGTGGGTATCCAGTGTGGAGGACAGGGCACTGATTCAGTGATGCCTCAGAGGTCCTGAAGCAATCCTTCTTGTAGATAGAAAAAAATACTGTAAATGTCAATGTGGAATGCTAGCAGTGGTATGTTTGCTACTGAGTATGGGGACGGGTTTAATGCTGAAAAGCCGGAAGTGCTTTGTAGTTGAAAAGAAGCAGAATTATCTCATTTTGATTGTCAGTGAAGACATTGCTAGAAGTGAGCATACAAGAAACACAAGGTTTGCACTTCTGGCTCACATCATTACATTTCAGCAGTTTCGTTATCCAGTGTCACATGAAGGAATGATGGGACAAGTATGATGTGTGACTGTCTTAGACTTGTACAGAAGCTTTCATTAGCCTGAAGTAAGCTCAGCCTGACACCTGGTCATGTAGTAAGACGCCTACATTTTCTATCAATTCTTATTTTTAAGACCATCCATATGTCTTTTCGATATGTAATTGCTATTATATGTATTTAATATAGACTATTAAAAGACTCTTAAGTCAACAGCAGAAGGCATACAAGGTAGATACTTGACACTTGGAGATAGCCTTTATACTGTCACTCTTTACACTGTTTTAGAGGACAGTGCAATAGACTTTTTGAAGTACAATTTTGTCTTTTATTCTCAAAAAATTTGCATGCAATTTCAGTCAGATTATCCTGACTACCTTACTTTCCAAACCATTTAACCTGTGGTTGTTACTGCGGAAATTTAGTTCACCAGTATCTTGCGGGTGATGTTGTTGATGTGCAACAGGTAATCAGCCTATGTTGTTCACTTGGCCAAATTATTGCACTCATCATTTCACATTTCTCATCTCTGTTTATATTCAGCCTTGTTCCTTGAAATATATTACCTCATAACTGTCAGAATGTGTTATTTCTCTTACAACTTTTGACAAAGTGATTGATTTGCATAATCAGTTTAAGATTTCTTGTAACAAGTGAGAACTCTTCCTGGATTAAAACAACAATGTTTTAACAGCCCTAGGAGATACATAGTGGCCAATCTTGATTTCATGTTTCAACATATTAAAGTTGCACCTAAGGGCAGTGAAGCATATTTTTAAAAATGAAATGGAAAAATCTCAAAATAGGTTAAATTCTGACATTTATTTCTATCACTTATATTCCTTGTAAAGAAGAATGTATGAAGATAAAGGTGAAATGCTTTTCCTTGATTCCTTTTTCTCAGAAACTGAAAATGGTGAAACATCATGTTGATTTTCTTTAAATACTAATGGTATTACTGCATCTTTTTTTATTTCAAACTGTTACCATGGAAATGATATCAGAAGGGCAGGCAGTAGATTCACTTCTGACTGCTGTTGTTTCATATCAACATTATTTCAGAAGATAAGAATTGCTAAAAAATTATATTGATTTTCAATATTACAATTTTTTGAGAAGTATTACTATTTTTTCTAATAACTGAAATATTAAACTTGACAAAAGCAGTTTATTTAAAGTAATTTTTAACACAACCACATGCTCTGCAGATAGTTAGTGTATTGCTATCCTTCATCTGATCTTTAGCTATGTTGTGAAGATACTAAATTAAAATATTCTATGTCCTAGAATAGCCCACACACACATTAACCTGCAACTACAGTGGACTTTTTATATTAATTATTTTAAATATATTTTAAAAATGTAAAATAGTGTAATTATAAAATAGTGTAATTATTTATCAGCAAGAATAGCATTGTAAGTTTCAGATATTTAAATCTAAAGTAAATAATCAACCAAGGTTATGGAGATAGGAAGTTTTCTTTATTATTTCACATCAGTAATTGCTACACAGCACTCTGTCTTTCACACTAGATGGTCCTGGTATAATTTGTTTCCTTTTCCTGACATGTGCTAATTAAAAATCTCCATGTTTTCCTTTCATGCTGAAATCCTGTTCCTGTGTTCCTTTTATTTATTTATTTTTTAGTTCAGAGATTAATTTCACATGTGTTGTTAATCTTGAAAAGGGTGTCAAATGATAGCAGAGCAAGCAGTTTAGTTTTATAATCTCAGGGTGAAAATCTGCTTATATTTCAGTTTGGAATGCATTAGTTTGCATAAGTGAGTGGTTAAAAGGACTGGCCTTTTCCTTTCCCCAGAACATCCAGCACAGGAAGTATGCCAGGTGGAAGGCAGCATATATTCATAACTGCTTGAAGAATGGAGAGACACCTCAGCCTGGGCCTATCGGGATGGAAGGGGAGAGCTTCGGTATGTGTTTCCCTTTTCTTTTTCAAAGAGCTGGGCCAATACCAAAATGGTGGTATGTACAACTAGTTCTTCAGGGAGCGCCCCACAGGAAGCACACCTTTTCTGTTTAATGTTCCATTCATGGTGGCCCTCCTTCTGCTTTTTTCCTCTGCTTCTCCTACTGTTACTTTTATTTGACTTTACTATTTGACTTTTAAAATATTTTTTTCTTTCCTCTGTAGTGGAGATTATTGTTTTCAATATAGCTCTAAGAAGGTATTGTCACCCTTGGGCCAGAACCATGCATTTCTTAATACTACTCATATCACTAAAATATGTTCTGTCAAGTTTTGGTCCCTTTGACAGTTTATCTTCTCTCAGGAGTTAAATAGGAATAGAAAATGGATTGACTGTAGGTGAATTCAGCTCCAAAACAAATGCCTCATAGTGAGACAATTCCTTCCTCCTCATATAATAATGTGGTTTACAAAATACATGTCTGGCCTGCTCTTTTTATATAGGATTTCCTGCTGCTTTCTCACTCCTCCTCCTTTTCCTTGTGTTTTTAGTTACACCCTTTGTTCTTCTGGCTACCTGACTTTACTGTGCAGGATTCCTTGAAGTTACCTTCTTAGCTGTCAGATAAGAAGTGGTGATTTCGAAGGCCACTCACCAAAATGTATGTTTATCAGAAGAAGGTTGTTTAAAACCTCCCAAAATGTAACTTTTACTGCCTTCTATTTCCTGCATTCCAATCTGTCTAAACTCTGCTGCTAATTTAAGTCTTAGCTCTTCAGAAAGAAATGTTAGGGCCATCCAAACCATTCTCATGTAGAGGTTTTTTTTAAGACAGACACCACCACTGGGAGCATGCAAGCTTCCCGCTCCATGAAGTAACAGAACACATATTGAGCAGACTGTCTTACAAGGGCATGTTCATAACATCCTAACCTCATCTGAGGAAGACAGTTCCATTCTATTATGTCATTATGTGTATTTTTTCTAAAAACGACTAAACATTCAAAACAAAGCTTCCATATTATTTCTAAAGTTTCCAGTGTCAACCTTTTTCTAGTATAGATCCAAAGGCTTCACAGATACATGCAAGAATGAGATAACTTACAAAACCTTTTTATTAAGCCATTAAAACAAATAATACCATGCTTTGCAGTTACAGATAAAAGCAAAATATATTCAAAAAATAATACATTTCTGAAATATATAAAAATGGTATGTAATTGTTAAATTAACTTTTGAAATGTTTTCACCCATTTACTTTTTCATTGTTTGCAGTTTTTCTGTGCTTGATACCTTATGTTTAATTCTTTTTGCATTTCACGAGTTGCTTTTGATAGCAATCAGTCTCATTAGCAAGGGGTCTCTAAGTTTGCCTCCTCAGTCAGCGTAGAAGCTTGAAATACAAACTTCAAATTGTGAATCTCTCATGGAAATAGAATGTCTTTGAAATTGATATTTTAATTATGCAAATTCAATCAGACTAATTATGCACAAATCACCTCTATGTATAATTCTTCACATATCTAATGAAACTAATAAGAACATTAAATGATTTGAAATTTCCCTCTGAGTTAGTATACAAGACTGTGGCTTGAATAAATGTCACTTATGTTGATACTCATCTATATCTTACGCTTGAATTTTTTCTAATTAAAATGATCACTGAATTACAATACAAAAGAAAGAAATTAACTTGTTAGGTAGCTGCAGAGGTGACTACATAAAGTTTTAAATTCATATATATTCATGTATATGATCCATATACTTAGATGTACACACACAAGTATTTGTTTATTTCCATTCATTCATATTTGGCATCTGTACCTCAGTCTTAGTTGGATTTTCAAGTTTGAACCTGTAATTTCAAATGTTATGAATGGGCTTATCATTTTCTGCATGTTGGTTTTGTTTTAAACATGTCAAAACATTAGAAAACTGGTTTCTCTTTTAGTTCTCAGTCTTTTCATCATGTGATCTCACATTTTGAAGCTTTTTCTCTCTTCATCTATGAAGAAAGATGCGATGGGCATGACCTACTAGTTTTAGAAAGATTAAGCTGGTGGTCCTTACAGTCAGCTATAGCATCATATTTCACTTGGCAGCCACTAGCCAATTCTTCTGCAGAAGACAAATGTGTAGCAGAAGATAAAAAGTGACAAAGTAGCATGAATAAAAACTATCTAGTTTACCAGATTTATCAGACAGGGAAAAAAGTATAAGGCAGTAGAAGATAGGCAGTCTTACTCCTTCCAAGCTCACCTTTGTCAGAAAATAGTCTACTACTTGAAGTATGAGAATTTTCTGTTGTCTTCCAAATGTGAACTGGAGAACAAAGTGAAATGTCTTAGGGGAGTTGTTATTGCTGTCTTAAGCTAAACCTAATGGGAGAGTATAAAGAAGATCTAAGCCAGACTCTTATTGGATGTGCATAATGATAGGACAACAGGCAATGAACACAAGTTGCAACAAAGTAAATGTGAATTAATTATTAGGAAAATAATGTTCATCAAGAACATGGTCAGATATTGAAAAGAGAGTCCAAGAGGTGTCATGGAATCTCCATCTTGGAAATATCCAAAACCTGACTGGAGACAGTCCTGGGCAACTGGTGGTTGGACTACCAAAGGAAGTTCCTTCCATTTAGCAATTCTGTTCCCAGAGCAGCATGATCTGCATTAGTACTGCTGTGAGTGAAGAATTGTACTGGATAACTTGCAAGGGATGCTTCAGCCTATGATTCTTGAAACAATCTCGCAGAATTAATGAGTGGAAATATGAGAGTCAGCTAGAAGGGCTTCTGAGATGCAAATTTAGCCAAAAAATTCTGAAAAGTGGCTTTTCACAGTGTATTCTCTTATCATTTCTATCTCCAGACCACTATTACATTTAAAAAAACAATTAACTAAAAAAATATAAATAAAAAAATATAAATTCTCATTTTTAAATGAGAATATATGCTAAACATCTATCCCTGTTTATTCTTAGCCTTTATCTTGTTGAAAGTAACCAAAAGTGTCTAGAAGCATCTATAAAAACTATAATGTCTTTGCAGTTTCCTGGATAAAATACTGTTTGGGTATTGATAATCTAGAAACACTACAACATAAGTAAAGTCAAATATTTGTGAACAAATAATGAGTATGATACAATCTGATTTCCAGGCTACCAGTTTGTTATTTTGCTTACCATACCAAAAGATGTGCTGCACGTTTAAACCCTGGAATGACTGGCTGTCTTACCCACTCGGATTTACTCCACTCTAGGCATAGCTGTATTTGAAGTGAAGCATCAGCAGAAAATCTTTTTCAAGGCAGTTTTCTTAGCTGCTGGTGCAGCTGTAGCAACAGAGACTTACAGTGCAACTCCAGGTGCAAACAACTTGTGGGAAAAATATCTTTTGTTATAGTGAATGTTAATGAATAGCCCAGTTAAATATTTCTAGCTTAAGACTGCAAAAGCAACTGTTATAGGAGGGAAAGTAGAATTCAGCCTTAAATCCCCACTATTCATTGCAGGTCATTAAAAGCAGTAGTGTGAATAGGTGAAGACTATTGCTTTCACTAACAAGTTACATCTACATACAACTTAAAGGGGATGCAAATGCTGAGTGAGCCAAAATTTTAACATCCTACTGATAGGGAACCTGCAATATCTATAATTGGGGAGTAACTTTTTATTTGTCGAATTGTGTTTCATGTAGTAAGATAATTTCTCACCCTTTTCTGAGCAATGAAATGAAAATACTTTTTTATCTTTAGTTTTTGAAATTATCTCCATAGTGGAGGTGTCCATAGTACTTTATATAATCAAGACAAAAATGTTGTGCAAATTAATTTTTATTAGAAGGGTCAGTAAAAAAAAGTGTCAGTTATTGCTTTGTGCATCATCCAAAGAAACGCAGCATTGTTTGAATGTACAGCTGAACCTTCCCCATTCCTTTCTGCTTGCTCATTTTCTTCCTCCCCTGACAAGTGGAAAAAGTCTGTTTAAACAGAGTGAAACTAGGTCTCTGGTAGCTTGACAAATTACCATTTTTTTCCGAAGTGTTATTTTCTTTGTGATTCTCAAAAACCATACTGTAACTCCTGGAGATGTTTTTAGGGTAACATAGGCATGCTTTATGCAGTTCTGCTGTTGGATTTATGGATGGTTTTGTCAGGATGTCACCATGGAAACCTTAAAATGGCATGCTTAATTTATTAATGCAGTTGAAATGCAAGTCCTAGAGTACACATAAAGGTCACTTGGCCATAGTCCAGGTCATCCAACAAGATTTTATACTAATGGAAAAAATTTAAAATGTAATTTGAAATATGAAAAAGTTCCAAAATGGTCACAGTATAGCCATAGTGAAGTACATGTCGCCACTTTCATTGCAATATGTAATATGTATTCTACATTTATATTGCAGAAATCCTTATAGTCCCAACTAGCAGAAAGAACAATGTATGAACATTTAATGTATTTTTGAGCCTATTTCTCAGCATTGTGGAAAAAAGAAATATATATTTTTTAAAAGCCGTGTGCCAGGAGAACCTTGCATTGTGCATATTTTATCAACATCTCAATCTAAAAGGAAAAGTGCAGCAGACTGAGGAAAAAAACATGTTTTTTAAACTAAAATTAATATATTAACCTTTTAATTTTCTGGACTCATGAAAAAGAAGAGTCCAGAGAAGCGGGTGAGATGGGACTCCTTAATAACAGCAAATTTTCTAGTTTTAAATTTAGTGCTCAGGACTGCAGAAGTTAAATCATAATTAGTGTTTCCTTACACTAGACGGGGGAATGCCGTTAAACCTGGAGGATCCTCTCTAGGAGAGTGTCTTTGAACAGTTGATAATTGGGCCAGGGATATCAGCCTTATTCCACAAAGTCTTGTCTTCAATAAATAAATAGTTTAAAACAAACTCACAGATAGTCTGGGTGTACTGTAGCTCTGAAAAAAAATCTCAAGAGCACATGAATTTATTGTGCTGGAATACAAGCACCAAGGCTGATGAGGTTCCAGGCAAGAAACTCAGCTGGAGCTGAAACAATTGTGTCACTGTTTCACAGCGTGGTATTTCACCATCCTTGAGCAAATCGCAGGGAACTTTAATTTCTAGGTTAGTACTGCTTTATGAGAAATTAATTCTCTAATTCTTCTAGTGTTCGTTCCCATTCCCTGGAGAAGATTTGTTTTTCAATAATGTTATGGATGTTGTAACCACAGGACTTAAAAAGTTTGTTGACTTAAATGTTCTTTTCCAGCAGCTTGAATTCCTTCTGTTTAGCACTGCTTTTAAAACTCTTCATAAATACTGCAAGCACATATCTCAAAATGGTTCTAGTACTTCAATCTTTGATAAAGAATATTTTAAATATTTACTTTGCAGAAAGAGTAGTTGCAATGCTTTGATGACATTTAGGCACTTTCAACACCTAAGAAGAGTTAATTTGAACAAAGGTACTTTTATGTTTAATACAGTTTAACATTTGCCAGTTGCATAATGAACAAGTCAAACAGTTGAGCTTGATTTCTTGATACATAGACTTGATTAAAAAGTGTACTGCACTTTTGTGAATTTGTCTCTTACAGGCACTGTTATTAAAGGTGGTCAGCACTTCTGATACTTTTTTTTCATTGCTTTTTTTGCTTATAACATTGCCAGACCTTAACCACTTTAGTTCATATCTTCCATGACTAGTGTTGCCTACAGCACTGCACTTTTACAGGAGTGACTGGAGACCAAAAAGAGTGAGGAAGTTTGAAGCTGAAACTGGGAAGCTTTTGGAGAAAAGACTGGGATGTAGTATGAGACAGGCATACAAGGATGGGATGGGGGCTTGCAGATAGAAGCATAACATGGTTAAGGTTGGAAGGCACCTCAACTTCAGATTCCAACCTTCCTGCTGTGAATAGGGGCACCTCACACTAGACCAGGCTGCACAAAGCCTCATCCAACCTGGCCTTAAACACGTTCAGGGAGGGGACTTCCACAACTCTCTAGGCAACCTATTCTGACCTTACTGCCCTCATGGTGAAGAATTTATTCCTGATGTCTAGCCTAAATCTCCCCTCTTTCAGTTTAAAAGCATTACCCCTTGTCCTATCACTGCCCCCTCTAGTGAAAAGCCCCTCCCCAGCTTTCCTGTAGCGCCTTCAGGTACTTGAAGGCCGCTATAAGGTCTCCCCGGAACCTTTTCTTCTCCAGGCTGAACAGCCCCAAATCTCTCAGCCTGTCTTCACAGCAGAGGTTCCCCAACCCTTTGGTCATTTTTGTGGCCCTTCTCTGGACTCTCTCCAACAGCTCTATGTCTTTCCTGTGCTGAGGGCTCCAGAACTGTACACAGTACTCTGGGTAGGGTCTCATCAGAGCAGAGTAGAGGGGCAGAATCACCTCCCTGGCCCTGGTGGCCACACTTCTTTTGATGCAGCCCAGGATGCAGTTGGCTCTCTGGACTGCATGCACACACTGGTGGTTCATGTTGAGCTTCTCATCTACTACCACCCCCAAGTCCTTCTCCTTGGGACTGCTCTCCAGCCGTTTTCTGTCCAGCCTATATTTGCACCTGGGGTTGCACCAACCCAGATGCAGGACCTTGCACTTGCCCTTGTTGATTTTCATGAGGCTGGCATTGGCCCATCTCTTTAAGAGCCTGAATTACTGATTGCAGCAAGTGAAGGTAGTTTTCACAAGAGTAACACAGAAAATTTTACCATGTGCTGTGTTTTTATATTAAATTTTTCCAGCAGTGCTTGACACACTGACACACCTGACAGAACTTCACTTCTAGATTTCTCTGCTTTTTAATACTTTTAAATAAAGATTATTGTCATTAGACTTTGGATTTGAGGGATTTGTGAATCTATTTATTAGGATGTTCTGAATGAAAGTATACTACTACAACATGGCACTATACAACAAGAATATATTCCTTAACTGTATATTTATTAAAGTCCAATAAAAATATCCTAATGACAATACTTCTGATTTTACTCTGCATTACTGCCTTTTGTTGTAGTAACTAGTATTATGAGTTAAAAGGTGGTTAGTCATTTTTAGTAAAGGTAGTACCTGAACTTTTTCTGGGAGGAGGAGGACATTGCATGAGGAAAATTCTGATATTTATAATAGTCAACTGTTTAATTATTAAACAGTAGGCGTGTTTGCATAATACATAATCTTGTATAGTTGGATCAGTATGGATTTCATAAAGGAAAAAACATCTCTTTTGCCAGCTCTAAACACATAGAAGTTTTGTGCTCCTATGTTCATTTTGCTCTGTTTCAAGAACTGACTGTTAACAAAGTCATTCCCAAAACTGTGGTTATTCCACTTGACATTATTTATACAGGTGAACACATACAAAGTAAAAGGAAATTAGCTTTTAAAAATGGAACTGAATTAAAATTGAGGAGCAGAAATCAACCATATTTTAAATTAACTGGCTCATCAGCATAATAAAATTGGACTATTAACCTTCAAAGCAACATTGAATTAACTAGACCAAAACATTCAGAACATGACTAGATTGAAAAATAATATGTTCTTTGTACATGCTATGGCATATGTTGAACCTCATTATTCTTATAGTGCATGATGTACTCCAGCTGGTCCAGATACAGTTATGACTTGGCTAAGCTGAGTCTTCTTTTCTTGTTTCATATTACTTTCCCAAAGTTCCCTTTTTTTTGTTATTTATTTGTTTGTGTAATTGATACGGGGTGGAAGGATTTGCATTGTCTTTTTTTTTTACAAAGAGTTTCAAGGTAAAGAGGGTTTTCCTTATTCTGGTTCATGTTTGTATTAAAATATAAATTACTGCATATTGGTGGTATCTTGTTCAGCTACTGAAGTATGACGTATGGAAGTAGAAGGGATATTGCTGATCAGACAGATTACTTCTATTCCAGCCTGTAATGACATGATCCTACAATTTAAACAGAAGAGAACTTTGAAAGTATTTGAGTTTCTAGATCTTTATCCTATGGTATGTTGCCTTTTTATTTTGTCAAGTCAACCTTAGGTGATTTGGGTTGATAAATGTTTTATGTGATACTGTGGTGGCAATTTTTCTACTAGCAAAAATTGCAAAGGAGGTTTTAAAAGAAAGACCAAGTTTCAAGTGTTTATACAGAAGAGTTGCAGTAATTCCTGTTTTGTTTCATCTTAGAAGATGCTGAAAGGGAAGAAGCAGGGTCTTCTTCTCTCCATAGTGGAACAACTCAACCAACATCATCATCTACTTTTGAAGCTAACAACATACCAACTAGTAATTATACTGGTATACATATACCACCAGGTGCCCATGCGCCAGCTAACACACCAGCTGAAGTACCTCATAACACAGGTATGTCTGAATCACACCCAAAAAAATCATGCCTTTATTGAGAGGTGAATTCTAGCCCTCTTTTCTATGACATAAAGTAAAATAATTTATATATATTCTATGGCAGAAGCAACTCCATACATTAACATTGTAAATATGCCATTGGAAATACATGTATGTTTTTTATGTTTTTTAAAATACGTAATTCATATTTTGGAGCATTTTGCCAGGAGAAATATATGAACTGAAAGAGTGAGTGTTCCTGCAGACAAAATTTCTTTTTATTCTCTAGAATCATGCATTGCAACATCCATACTGTAAAGCACCATTTGAATCTTTCAGTTGATAAATGAAATTATTTAACTTCCTTTCATATTTAGCTTTCCCTGTGCAGATGGACTGCTGTTCTTTATGTGGGAACATACCCCGTGTAGTGTTCAAAATGGTACAACACCACTGTAACAGTCATGTCAGATGTACCATTCATACCTTTCTACTATGTGTATTCTGCTTTGTCTCAGACAATATTATTAGTGGAAGTTTTGTCCTTACTACTATTTGGCTCCTACATCTTTCTTATTCTGTGTCATTTTTGGACCAAAATTAAGTTCTTGAAAACCAAAAGTTCTTCCCAGTCACTGTATTTGTTTTTTTTTTTTAAAAGAAGTCATATTATTTGTTAGTACAACTTTTTAACCTCATTGTTACCTTTTTGTAATGATATTTAATACGACTAAAAAATTAAAAGCTCTTGATTTTAATCCTGTTGATAATTTGATTGTTAACATACATTTTTATATTACAGAACTTAAGAGATATTCTTGTCATACAGCCCCTCCTTTTCTTTTACATTCTCATTTTAAAAATGCTTCACTCTACGAGAAGTTCAGGATGCTCTTTTTTTCAGCTTTATCAAAGGGATATCCTTCAGATAGGTGGGTTTTTTTGGGTCTGATAGGGAGTGTTGTTTTTTATATTCAGCTTGGGTAAATGTTTAGCTCTTTGTTTTTACCAGATCTGAAAATTACGGAATATGTACCTTCTTAGAATATGTTATTATTTGCATTACTTATCGTTAAGCCTATCAGTCATTCCGTGAAATAACAGACAAGTTAGAAAAGTGTTTACGCTGTCTTCATACATAGTAGATGTAGAAATAAATTTATGTCAGTCTGGTGTGTTCCAGACATATACTGCAAAAATACAGTTTGGGATCACTGCAAGTGAGGGTGTCTAAAACATGAACGCAGATACAGGAATGCTTCACAGCATAAGGTACTGTTTCTTCTTCTACCATCACCATTTCCCTTTTAAATCCATCTTTATTCAAAGGAATTAGGAAGGAGATAGCTGGCAAGTGTGAAATCCAGGCATGGGACTTTGAAAATATGATAATGGAGTCTCTCTGATGGAGTCATCAGGCTTACCAGTTCTATTTTCTTATTTTGTCTTCTTATTTTTCAAGTCTATATATAAAAATAACCCAGGTCCAATTTTTTGCATTGATTTGCAGGAGTGACAAGTAACACCATTCAGCCTGCTCCTCAGAATATTCCTCTAGTCGATCCTTCCCTTTACAGTGCTCAGTCTGCAGGTAAGACAGTGGCATTTGTATTGTCTGTGCATGGATGTATTGTGTCGCGTGTCTTCTGTGTACTGAAGGAAGAAGTTCAGGAAACTATGGTTACCTGAATGCTACTTATTCCAAAATTCTAAAAAGAAAGGAGATAATTGAAGCATTGTGTTGCTAAGAGCTTCTGAAAACTTTGCTACAACGTATGATTAGTGTTGTCAAAGTGACTTTTTTGAACCAATGAGCTAGCATTGTGTTGGACTTCTGATTAATATTGCTGCTTCTCAGATGAGATTCTAATATACTTAGCAAAGGCTATGTTCCTTATAGCCTTGCTAAATTGTATTTTTATTAATTAGTATACATTCCATTCACTTCACATTTCTTGTACAGGGTCAGTACATAAGTTATTTATTTATTTTATTAACTAATCATGACATTCCAGCTGATAGTATATGTAACTGATGCTTTAAATTTCAGTTCTAGATACAGTCAAATGTTGCCCATTGTGATTATGGAGTTTAGATAGGTATATTCTTGCATATCGTAACTTAGAAATATTTAGGTAGAAATTTTAGTTTATTGTGTTGTTGAAAAGGGTGTCTATGTTAAATACCAGCTTTACTGGAAAAGAATTGTTGATTCAATATAATGCTATAATAGGCATTCAGTGTTTAGTTTGATTTTAGTCTACTGTCATAAGAATACTTAAGGATGTGTCCATCTTAATATATTAGAAAGCCATTTTTGCAGATGTCTAAAAAAAAATAACAAAATTTACCTTTGATAGAGACGCATTAACCTTTAGTATTCTCTTAAAGAGCAGAAGTCACATCCTATTTTTTGCCTGACATATTACTGTAATGTCTTACGTGACAACTCATTTTATTGAAAACAGTGCCTCTGACCTGCAGCTGAACCATTTAAACTTGGTGATAGTTTTTTAGTTTGAGGGGCTGTTGTTGGGGTTTCAATAACTCCTTAACCAATACAGCTAAAGGCTTTACTTCAGCTTTACCATTTGGAAGGCAAATTTTGTGTTGTTTGGCAGCAGAGCTTACGTATTTAACCAGCTTATCATGATCCTCTAGACAGTCATTCTAACAGGTTTTTGGATAACTGCTCTGGAAACTTCAGTAATCATGTTTCTTGATTTGAAAGTTTTATTCTAGTTGTCAAAAATGTCATAATTTGGATTTAAACTTTAATTCTTCATTAAATATTAGAAGTTCTATTATTATTATTATATCTGGGTGGTGTCAGTGCAATCAGCATTGCTCCCTCTAGCCACTTACCTGTGATAACCTGATTTAGTAAGTACCTAAATATGAATAAAAAGGAATTGAGTTAATTAAGATACCCTGTGTTTGTGAGAATTCATAATAACTACAGTCTTGTAATTAAAAGATTAAGACCCTTGCTAATCACAGTGATGAATCTCTAACTTGATCTAACCTGAATATGTGCATGTCTGTCTTCCTTCTCTGTAAATCTCTTGTGTCACAACCAGTTTGGGTCTTGCAACAACTTAGTGTTACATTCTTATGGGGAAATTTTGCAAAAGTGCAGCTGGAGAGGTGATACAGCTCATACAGATCCTGAGTTCTGAAAACTTAGACAATATGCTCTCAGGTATGCAGGAGTCTGAGAGGGCATAAGGAATACCTCAGCCAGTAGTGATACAGTAAGTTTTGTTTGCATGTATAGAATTAAGAAACTCCAGAGCAATGGAAAGTGTTTGTCTTTGTCTGTCACCATCCTATGATGCATGCCTCGTCATTACCTAGAGCATCCTCCCTTCATCCCTTCAGCTATACCTGCAAGAGTAATGGCAGGTACCATTCTTCTCTGTGCTGCTGAGGAGCCCTTTTTATACCAGCAGTACTTTGTTCCACAATGTCCTTGTTCGCTGACCTATAAGTAGATTTAGAAATGCCTGTGAATGTACTAAACAGTGGGACCCAGGATCCCTCCTTGGTTCCTGGGTTGCAATATGTATGTATTGGGACTAGATTCTGGATGTGTATTGAGGTTAGACTTTGGTATGCACCATTTCTGTGGAACTGAAGTTTACTTTGGGTGAGTTAGAGGGATCAGTGTTGCCCTCCAGTAGAGCCATAGAGCTAGCACAGTGCAAAGTATACTTGCTCCACAATTTAGACACAATGTCTGTGTCTATACTAATAAATTAAACATGCCTGTAGATATTTGATGCTGAGAACAGCTGGCACAGGCCCACTCACATCCATGCTATTAAACTTTTAAACCTTCTAAACAAGGTACTTTGTGAAGGCTGCCAATACTGAATGGTCTCTAACTTGCTCTGACCGCAAGTCATGCCCAGAAATTGTTTGGGAAAGTGCTAGCTTACCTGGGCCAAAACCATACTGAATTCTGTTCCAGCAGTTTGACAGTGTAGACAGTCAAGTTTGAGTGCTGAGACACATTCCCTGGCACTCATGAATGTACTAGTATAGGCATAGCCAAACAGGATATTCCACATATTCCTGCAAGACCCTTTCTGGTAACAAGAGCAAATGTATATTTTAAAATACATTATATATTTTCTTTCCTTCCCATAACATGAGAATTGATGTTATGATGGGAGATAAACTTTTGCTGGAGGAGAGTGGAGTATTTTCTCAAAAGAAAATTAAGTTAAAATAATAGTGTTCTTTTGATTTTAGTCAGAATGAATCCTTCAGTAATTGCCCTGTCCTTGGGAACAGGTTTCAGAATTTAACATTGAGTTTTGTATGTGTCAAGTCTTATGCAGTTAAGCACTGGGTAATGTCTCTCACAACAAAATGTAGAGATACACAGCAACTTTGTATAATGTGTACATGCACTTATCTGATGTAGTTTGCTTGAAAAAATTACCCCTAGATTTTGCTAACACTAAATGCATTCATGGTTGTGCTAAACAGAGTTTTTATAAGATCCTCTTACGTTACCAACATGCCTTGCTTCCACAGGTGACACAGTATAGAGAAATTATTTGTGCATTCCACTTGTGCATAATAATACACAGAGAATAGAAATGATAATTTGATACTTTACATGGTTTTGTGATCTTAAGAAGGATTCATATTTCAAATATCCTAGAAGTCCTTTAACAAGAAAAAAGAGCATCTTGTTTAAAAAATAATTTCGGTTACCTTTGCCATCACTGTTTTTATACACCAAGTTGTCTTATTAAACTGTTCTTAAATCAGCTGCCTTGTATTTGGGCAACTTCATGGAAAGGATAAACATCTGATGCATAGAAAAGGATACCAGAGAAAAGCAGGTATATCATAATATCTGCTGTGGGTGTGAAATAAACATTATTTCAATTCTAAAACGGCTTTTTTCCAACATGATCTTCAGCATCTCTAGTCAAATTGCCCTTTGGTTTTCACTTTGTATTCTTCTTAAACTAAAAGAGTCATGCTTGACATTAGTTACAGATTCCATATGTCTGTCATGTTTCCTTCCTGAGTATAACTACTGTGCTAATAATTCCAGATTAACACTGAAGCAGCTTTTTTTCAGGATAAATACGGAGTACTTTTCCCATGTTTCCAATGTTGTTGGCCTTTTTTAGAGCTCAGAATCACAGGATGGTTGAGGTTGGAAGGAACCTCTGGAGGTCATCTGGGCCAACCTTTCTGCTCAAGCAAAGGATACTGTAAAATGGCTTTCTCAAGATCATGTTCTTTGTGTCTTCTCTGCCTCTGCACCATTCCCATGGTTTAGTTCACAGCACTGAAGGAAGAAGTTTGACAAAAAAACTTAATTTGAAAGACAGCTTTTTACTATCTCCAGGGACAGAGACTTCATAACATCTCAGTGCTCAGTCACCCTCACAGTAAAAAGTGCTTCCTGATGGTCAGATAGGACCCTCCTGTGTTTCAGTTTGTGCCCATTACCTCTGGTCTTGCCACTGGACACCACTTGAAAAGAACCTGGCTCCATTCTCTTTGCACCCTCCATTCAAGTGTCCACATCAATAAGATCCCCTTGAGCCTGAACAGTCCCAGCTCTCAGCCTCTCTTATGAGCGATGGTCATATCCCTTAATTGTCTCTGGCCCTTTGCTGGTCTCTCCAGGGTGTCAGTTTCTGTCTTGTACTGGGGAACCCAGAATTGGACACAGTATTCCAGGTGTGGCCTCATGAGCCTTGGAAGTGCTCCAAGTCCAGGTTGGATGGGGCTTTTAGTAACCTGGTCTAGTGAGAGGTGTCCCCCTGGCCCACGGCCAGGAGGTTGGAACTATATGATATTTAAGGTCCCTTCCAAAACAAACCATTCTATGATTCTATTCCCACCTCCATCCACTTGCTGGCAACACTCTTCCTTAGCAGCCCAGGATGCCATTAGCCTTCTGCCACAAGGGCACATTGTCATCTTGTGAACAAATTGGTGTCCACCAAGGTCCTTCTCTGCAAAGCAGCTTTACTTTTCTCTAAAGCTTCTTAACTCCTAGAATATTTAAACTGAAGTCAGTTACTAACTTTTGTGTTATAACTTTGATGTAAATACAGGCATTAAAGTTTCATTTCCAAAAGAAAATTTAAGAACACTTGAGCTGTTTCATTTCTATTCTGCTTGCTCATTGCAAGGTGCTGACTTCAGTAGAAGCTGAGGCCACTGATCAAAACATCAACACCCATACTGTGTAAACTTTGGTTTATAAATTTAAAATTGTTAACTTTTTTCCCCTCAAGTGGCAATAATTTCGGTTACCTTTGCCATCACTGTTTTTATACACCAAGTTGTCTTATTAAACTGTTCTTAAATCAGCTGCCTTGTATTTGGGCAACTTCATGGAAAGGATAAACATCTGATGCATAGAAAAGGATACCAGAGAAAAGCAGGTATATCATAATATCTGCTGTGGGTGTGGAATAAACATTATTTCAATTCTAAAACGGCTTTTTTCCAACATGATCTTCAGCATCTCTAGTCAAATTGCCCTTTGGTTTTCACTTTGTATTCTTCTTAAACTAAAAGAGTCATGCTTGACATTAGTTACAGATTCCATATGTCTGTCATGTTTCCTTCCTGAGTATAACTACTGTGCTAATAATTCCAGATTAACACTGAAGCAGCTTTTTTTCAGGATAAATACGGAGTACTTTTCCCATGTTTCCAATGTTGTTGGCCTTTTTTAGAGCTCAGAATCACAGGATGGTTGAGGTTGGAAGGAACCTCTGGAGGTCATCTGGGCCAACCTTTCTGCTCAAGCAAAGGATACTGTAAAATGGCTTTCTCAAGATCATGTTCTTTGTGTCTTCTCTGCCTCTGCACCATTCCCATGGTTTAGTTCACAGCACTGAAGGAAGAAGTTTGACAAAAAAACTTAATTTGAAAGACAGCTTTTTACTATCTCCAGGGACAGAGACTTCATAACATCTCAGTGCTCAGTCACCCTCACAGTAAAAAGTGCTTCCTGATGGTCAGATAGGACCCTCCTGTGTTTCAGTTTGTGCCCATTACCTCTGGTCTTGCCACTGGACACCACTTGAAAAGAACCTGGCTCCATTCTCTTTGCACCCTCCATTCAAGTGTCCACATCAATAAGATCCCCTTGAGCCTGAACAGTCCCAGCTCTCAGCCTCTCTTATGAGGGATGGTCATATCCCTTAATTGTCTCTGGCCCTTTGCTGGTCTCTCCAGGGTGTCAGTTTCTGTCTTGTACTGGGGAACCCAGAATTGGACACAGTATTCCAGGTGTGGCCTCATGAGCCTTGGAAGTGCTCCAAGTCCAGGTTGGATGGGGCTTTTAGTAACCTGGTCTAGTGAGAGGTGTCCCCCCGGCCCACGGCCAGGAGGTTGGAACTATATGATATTTAAGGTCCCTTCCAAAACAAACCATTCTATGATTCTATTCCCACCTCCATCCACTTGCTGGCAACACTCTTCCTTAGCAGCCCAGGATGCCATTAGCCTTCTGCCACAAGGGCACATTGTCATCTTGTGAACAAATTGGTGTCCACCAAGGTCCTTCTCTGCAAAGCAGCTTTACTTTTCTCTAAAGCTTCTTAACTCCTAGAATATTTAAACTGAAGTCAGTTACTAACTTTTGTGTTATAACTTTGATGTAAATACAGGCATTAAAGTTTCATTTCCAAAAGAAAATTTAAGAACACTTGAGCTGTTTCATTTCTATTCTGCTTGCTCATTGCAAGGTGCTGACTTCAGTAGAAGCTGAGGCCACTGATCAAAACATCAACACCCATACTGTGTAAACTTTGGTTTATAAATTTAAAATTGTTAACTTTTTTCCCCTCAAGTGGCATCTGAAGTAGATTTTGTAATAAATAAGGCTTTATGCCAACAAAACATTAATAGAGTTCATACTGTAAAAATAAGATTAGACTGGTGAATTTAGGCTTCCTTCCAATAAATTAGTTGAATACTGGACTGATGCCTTCACCAGTTTTTATAGAATTATTTTGTAGTTTCTTTTGGCATCATAGCATAAAGCCACTTTGAGGGGAACTTAGCCTTTTGAGTTTCTTAAAGATGTTCAGTAATGTAATTGCTGATTGACCCCAGCTGCTTTTAGTCTGAGACTTTAAGTTACAAAATAACCTAAGTGTGTGCCTGTGTTTATGCACTCCCTCAGGTGTATTTACTCATGTGTATGTATTTTAAGGGATTTAATGTGGCTTTGCTTATTCAGCAGTAAACTAATACACATTGCAATAATAATAAGCACACTAAGCTATTATATGCCTCAATATTCAACAGCTACCTTGTGGTTATATTTATTTCTTCAATGAAAAATAAGTAAACTTCTAGAGTGTATTTTAAAAATCTATAAAATTAATCTAAAGAGCACCTGCCCTTCTGCTTTTTAGTGGGGTAGGGTTGTTTTGAAGTCCAGCAGACCAGTCTAGTTTTCAATACTCCCAGGTCTTCTATTTTATTTGTTCAAAAGCTGTTCTTAAATAATAAGAATGGCAAAAGGAAAAGCAAATATAGTAGACATTTTCTGATAAGAACTGAGATTCTTTAGGAAACGTTCCCACAGTATTGCTAACTGTGGTTTTATTTTGAAAGAAAGGGTTCCTTTTAACTGAAATTGTACCATTAAAAATGCATGTAAGTGTAGTCATGTCCTTGCTTAAAATCCAAACACTGTACTTATAGTGTTAAATCTTTGTTCAATCAATTTTATATAAAATATTTGGTGCACTTTAAAATGCAATTTTTTTAATCTATGAAATGAGTTCATTGCTTATAAGATGCTATGTGGGAAACCTATTTAAATAAATACATACTTGTTTAGCATGGCATATAATTATTTATCTGTGTCCATAAAAATTACTTTTTTACAAGTTAAGTTGTTCAGAAAGAACATGAATAAAGTTTTTATAATTTATCCATAGGTTATTGGATTGGCATGGGATTAGTCTTAAAACTCCCCAGTGAATTTGTGAGCAGTAGGAGAGACAGGAACATAACTGTGCTTTATTTTATGCATGCATCAATAATGCTGTTTGCATATTAAATCTTCTGTCAGGGCATAAGTCCCTACTATGCTTTTTAGAAGGCTGAATGGCGTGTGTGTGGCACTACAGAATTCCAAATATTTTAACTTATGTTAGGAAAATATTCTGATCAATAAATTATAGTTAATTAATTTATACTATGAGAATATTTTTGCTAGTGTCCTCTGGTATTACAAAAAATGGGCACACTTAATGAGATCAGTCTTATTTTCAGTCATCTTACATAAAATTGGAAACATAAACATTACTTGGACAGAACTGAAATATAAAATGCACAAAAAATACCAGGGAGAGATGTGTCTGCATTTTGAAAAGTTATTCCAGTTGAGAAGAAGCAGTTTCTAGCTATGAATTATTCCTGAAGAAGAAAGTAGTCATACTGTAAAGACAAAACCTACTGTCCATGTTTCTTGCAGGTTGTATTGTGATTACAGCTAACTTACTGTCTTTAGAAAGCTCTCCTTTGCTGCATGAGATGAAGAGCAGATCTTTCTCAAAGGTATTGACTTACTTTTGAAAGGCAGTGGGTCATACAAATACCAGTGTTTAGAAAGGCCCTCTTACATTTTTCAAATGCCAGCAGCAAAGAAGTCAAGCATTGTATGAGTGGGAAGAAAAATTAAGAGAAGAAACGCCATAGCTTGGTCTTTGTGATATTACCACAGATAGTTGCCCAGTTTTCTTAGTATCACCACAAATACAAGTAAAACACAGAAATTATGTGGAAGGAAGCCTCAGTCAGATTTCTTTCGTAGTAACTTTGTAATACTTCTGTTTTTGCAGGGGAAGTCCGTTTGACTCCAGAGGACTTTGCCAGAGCTCAAAAATATTGCAAATATGCTGGCAGTGCTTTGCAGTATGAAGATGTGAGCACTGCTGTGCAGAATCTCCAGAAGGCCCTCAAGTTACTGATTACAGGCAGAGAATGAAGCCTTTATCCAACAGATTCACGTCTTTTGCCTAAAGAACTAACAGCTTGTTACTGTACCTGTTAGGGGAGCTGAGCTATACAGAAGTTCTCAATCCCATCACCCGTGACAGTGAAATCACTGCTTCAGTGTCAGATTAGCAATTAATGGTACAGTAGGAATCTCTGTTTTTATTCTACAAACAGTGGAGCTAGAAATATATGAGTGCAGTGACTTGATGTAAGCAGAATACTGAGGAAACTGCTGAGAACACTGCTCAAGAGTTAGAATTCATCTTGCAATATTTAGTTTATCAGAATGGGAAAGTGCTAAGTCTAGGAAACTTGAGCATAAGAATTTATGTTAAAGTTCTTACTGATTTTATTATTTCAAATAATTGTTTAATAAGTATAATAGCTTTAAAATGGTAGCTAAGATTATTGCTTTCCTTCTAAAATGAGAGCATGTGAGACAGCTGACAGATCCATAATGGAAGGGACTTTTTTCTATACATAAATTATTTGGGTATTATCCGAGATTTAAGTCAAAGTTGAGGGAAACTTGAGGGCATCTATATTTCGTTTTAAAACATGTTGCAAAAAAACATCTCTTGATACTTCTGAGCTAGTCATTTGTATTGTGCTCCAACCTAATCCATCACAACTGTATGGACTGCTACATGTATTCCTGATTAATGTTCTTGCTCCTTTTGTGTGAACACTTACAATTTTGTATATGTATGGGTAATTAAGAGAAAGAACTAATATTTATCAGAGATGATCCTGAAAGCAGAGGCAGAGATTCTAAACAAGTTTTAGGGAGGTTCATGACTGTCCCACCTTTTTAAGAGACTGAAAAAAGGCATGTTCTTCAGTTGGCAAGGCCGTATAGGTTCATTTCTGGTATAAGTGTCGTAGAGCTTTGTATTTCCAGCTAATATTCTTCCTGTCTGCTTTGTTGTGGAGACTTTTTGCACTTGGGATTTAATTAAAATATCTTGGAAACTGAATTTTGAGTCTTTATGAGGTCTACCCTTGCAATTATAGAGCTCTCGATTTTTAAAAATGTATCCATGCTGTTTAAAAGAAAGAGTAAGTAGTCTTTTAACTGATGTAACATAGTAGTTTAACATAAGGCATATCTGATTTATGTAATAGTTTTAATGACGTTATCTGACCTTTCTTTCCAAGCTGCCGGATCAAATCCACGTATTCTTTATAGCTGCACTGTTTTGCAGTGACTAAAACGTTTGATATTCAAAGCAAAAAGATAAGAAAAAGAAAATCAAACATAAGCAAGCCTTAATGTTTAGCTGGACATATCCTATTAACAGTGTAGAGTCTGTCAGCAGGTTTGAAAAAGGGAGTAGGAAACTTGTAAATTTATTCTTTAGGCTGGCTGCAGAATCGATTCAGAACAGCCCTGAGGGAAAGGACTTGGGGGTGCTGGTTGATGAGAAGCTCAACAAGGGGCAGCAATGTGTGCTTGCAGCCCAGAAAGCCAACCATGCCATGCTTCAAAAGAAGAGTGACCAGAAGGTCAAGGGAGGTGATTCTCCCCCTCTACTCTGCGCTCGTGAGACCCCACCTAGAGTACTGTGTAGAGCTCTGGAGCTATCAATATAAGAAGGACATGGAGCTGTTGAAACAAGTCCAGAGGAGGAACATGAAGATGATCAGAGGGCTGGAGCACCTCTTCTTTGAAGACAGGCTGGGAGAGTTGGGGTTGTCCAGCCTGGAGAAGAAAAGGCCCCGGGGAGACCTTATAGCATCCTTCCAGTACCTGAAGGGGGCCTATGGGAGGGACTATTTATAAGGACATGTGATGATGGGGCAAGCGGTAATGGCTTTAAACCAGAAGAGGAGAGATTTAGGTTAGACATTAGGAATAAATTCTTTAGTGTGAAGGTGCTGAGGCACTGGAACAGGTTTCCCAGAGGGGTTGTGGATGCCCTATCCCTGGAAGTGTTCAAGGCCAGGGTGGATGAGGCTTTGAGCACCCTTGTCTGGTGGGAGTTCCCCCTGCCTGTGGCAGGAGGGTTGGAACTAGATCTTTAAGGTCCATTCCAACTTGAACCATTCTGTAATTCTGAAGCATTTTAGTTGACTGAGGTTTAATAAATAAAACAGCTGGTATTGTTTGTGTTGATTTCTGATATGGCATAGAATGCTAATCTGGGAAGTGATACGGATTAGATATTGTTTTGGGAAATTGAGCATAAATCAGTCTGAAACTTTTTTACAATGCTGTACAGACCTGGGCAATAAGCCTGTGTTTTCTACAGTGCTTCATGCCAGACAGGTCCCTTTCTTCAGTATCAAACTGAATTACTGTAAACTATTCCATGTATATTATTCTGGTATTGCACTGTGGTTAGAAAAGCTGCTTTTCAGTTGAAAGAAGGATGCAGAACATTATATAGAAATATATATATGTTGCATTGCTATAAAAAATCAGAAGTTGCTTTCATTTGGGCATCATACTACTCTTTACTAGTACTAGCTTTAGTCCTCAGCACTTTAAGGAGGAAAGTCAGTTTTCCTGTTTCCATTTATAAAATAATTAAAAGAACTTTGAGGCTTTTGTATTATATGGAAAAACAAGCAAGCTGTTATATAATACTGCATTAATTTGAGGCTTTCGATTCAAATTAGGGGTTTTTTTGGTGGTTGAATGATATGCAATGGAAGTATGTGACTAAGAAGGTTGCAAACAAAACAAGTATTTCTTAAAGTGTATAAAAGTATGTATCTTGACCATAATTATGTTGAACCTGTAAGATTAAAAAGCCATAAGCAATTTTCTTGGGTGATCATTTACAAAAGTGTAACCTTCTTCTAAGTAGAGAGAAATTAAAATAAGTGTCTCTGAGAGGAATGGAGATGAAAATGCTAATACAGAAGTTCAAGAGTTTCCTAGAGAAGCAATCAGGGCATCCTTTCTGAAAATAAATTAATGTTTAGAACTTTTGTTATATAAAATTCTCATTAATTCCTTAAAATTAAACATACTCTAATACTGACCTTTAGACCAAAATACCTGAATTAATATATAGAATTTTATTGTGCATATAATTATTTTGCTCTGGTAATTTGTTTTTTAATTGAGAAATTTTGTAACAGCCCATCAGACCATGTTTGAAGCCACTTCTTTAGGCTGCTAACATTTAATGCAACAGTATTTATCATCCAACTAATGCCTAAAGTAAATTACAGGAAAACTTTTCCATTCCATTAAATGTAGCCTCTGGGACAGCTTTTAATGTGGCAAATAGACCAAAAGTACAAACCAGTGTTGCCGAACAGTTCAAAAAGTGTATATATTTGAAAATGTCAGGAGAATGTAGGTAGATAGCCTGTAATCATTCCAAATTGGAATTTCTGGTAGGCACTGGAATTTATGGCCCCATTGTTAAACCTTCTGAGAACTTCAAGTGTTGACTGATTGATTTTACTGCTACTCTGAATGATGAAGTATCAACCCACAGCTCCTCTTAAGCCAGTTCCCAACATGTACAAGTACAGTAAAGGAGAGTGCCATTTGTTTTGCACATTACATCTGATTTTTTTCTTCATTATGAAGAAGCCTACATGCTAGTTGGCCTTTCTCCTTTGGATTATGAGTTCCTAATCTTCTCAGTCTTGCTTTAGAAATGAGAAAGAAGTGTTTTCTGTCAGATATTCTGTGTTCAGTTTTGCTGTTTATGTAAGCTAGATTTTTAGTGACTGTTCAGTGTATGATGCTGTTGAAAGTTACTGTCAATGTTAAAAGTCTTTTGGTATTAATGTTTTTGCAGTTCTTTATACTTTCACCTCTTTGCAGGGGAAGTTCCATATTATTTTTGAGGATTCCTACAGAAGTCTTTGTAAAGTGGTGCACAGCAGGTAATTGTTTATGAAATGGTGAAGATTTTTTCAAAGGTGAACTACTTGGATTTGCTAGCTCTGGAAATGTTATTTTCATATTGTTGCTGTCACTGCAGGTGGAATTTTTAACAATGTCCTTTGTAAGTGGAGTTTCAGAAGCACAGAGTTAAGTTATGATCATATTCTATAATGTAATTATAATTGTAGTGTTTGATGCTTTATAATACCTGCAAGAAATTAACAACAGGGAAACTTACTGTCTGAAGTAGGATTAAGGGGGTGTAGTGGTGATGGCGTGTGTGCAGACGTGTGGGTGCATTGATAATACGATGCATGTGAGTTCAGTGGTGGGCTGTAAGAATGAATGCCTTCCAAAACACATAATGAGCACCTTGTTTACAAGTATTGGGAAAATGTCAGGTACAAATATATAGGTACTGCTGACAAATATTGTTCTTAATGCTAAACTTTAAACGTATAGTTCCAAAAGTTAGCTTTTAATTGTGGGGGATTCCAAATGAATGGTCTTTGATTTCAGCAGTAAAATAGGAACCTGGTGCAAAAAGAATGGGAACACAAACTTAGAAAAAGTTAGATTTACTAAAGACCAAAGGTAGTTTCTGTTACTGCACAAGTCTTTGTGGTGATGTTCCAGTTGAGATTGGAAAGGACTCTTTCTTATATAGTTCTTGCTTTCTTTTAAAATGTCCTTTGTTATGCAGTTTACAGAATTAGAGCCTGAACCTGGATATCTGGATCCAGAAAACCTGGAGTTTGATGCTAAGTTTTTAACCAGTAATGTATCCTGATACTGACTGCAGCTTTTCTGGGAAAAGGAGCAATGCTTTTTCTTACTGCATTGTCAGCTTTCAGTGCAGAGCTGTAGTAACAAGAGGATCAGAAAAAATATGAATTTGCATTAGATATTTCTCTATCAACAAGAAGGTGTTATCTTGCCAGCAGACCTGGGTTTGGTTTACAAGAGTATTGGGAATGGTTTGATCATAGAGATTGTTCTGAATGTAATGCCCTGTTAGAGTTGTTGACTGGTTTCTTTAGAACTTTCAAAGAGATGAGAAGGAAGCTTGAGCTTATGGCAAAAAATTACAGGGAGGTAGGACAAGCGAGGAGGAGCACTAGAATAACAAAACCATTTTTTTTCTGCAAACT